ATTAAATATATTATTCGTTATGATTATTTATTTTTCACATATTTATTTATCTCTTTTTATTTTTTAATTATCATATAAATAATTTTTTAAATATGAATATTTTATTATAAATATTTTTTCTTAAATAAATAAAAATACATGATATGATATAAATTACTTTAAAAATTATAAAATAAGATGTTATATGATTAATAATTAAAATTATTATATTTTATAATAAGTTGAGTAAAATTTAAAAAATTTCACGATCGCAATAATCGTAATGACCGTTAAAATCTCCGTTATATTCGTAATCGTGACAAATATGATATAACTAAAAATGTGATCGTTACCGCAATTTAAATCTCTGATAGTGAATGCAAAAAAGAACCCTCGCTATTTAATGGCTCTGAAAATATTCCGTGTAGAATTTGGACTTGGTTTAAGAATTAAAATTACAAAATTAGGTCTCCTTTCCATATCAGTTAAGGCAAGTGGAAGGAAATGATTAAGGGTATTTTGGATAACGTAAAAATTTATGACCGTTATGAATTGCTGGAGAGAGATTTTTTTTTGTTGAATAATTGTGCCAGGTCGGATTGCCAATTTGTTCTTTCTTCGGCCCAAAGAAAAAAAAAAAGGTTAACCAAGCAATCTTGACTGTCCATTTTCATTCCATTTAAAATCGAGCTGACCATCAACTTGCTTTCAAATGGCCGCATTAGCCATCAAATAATATTTTACTAAAGCACCCTTTTTTTTAAAAAAATAGAAGTGTAATTTGACATATATTGATATTTTTATTATAAAATATCATATTAATCAATGATATTGGATAGTCATTAATATTTTTTATTATAAAATATAATTTTTATTCAATGTCATTAGATGCCAATTAACATTTTCTTATTATAAACTGATTTTATTAAATAGTATCTTAATTATAAATTTAAAAAATAGTTAATATTAATTTAAAAATACCGTTAACAAGTGCTTATAGATACAAATTAAAAATATTTAAATAATTACTTCATAAATAATGTGTTAGAAATAAACTAGACAAGGATTATTGGATTACGGTTATTAGGATATATTGTTCGTTATAATAACTTAAAGGTATAATTTTTTCTTTTGAAAAAAAGACATTTCAACAAGAAAAATGACTTTTACTTATAAATCCAAGGTAGATAAGGATTATTGGATTACAATTATTATTTGTTATGATAACTTGGAGGTACAATTTTATCTTTTGAAAAAAAGACATTTCAACAGGAAAAATAACTTTCAACCAGAGAAACGACTTTTACTTATAAAGCTAGACTTCAATTTTTAATGTGACATTTGTTTAAAAAACTACAAGCCACACCCTTGAAAAGTAAATAATAATAATAATAATAAAATTTTAAATATGATTTTGAAAATCATTGCTGATAATAATATTATTGTTAAAAAATAAGATAATATATATTTTTCTCTTTTATATATGTTAAGTATCTAATATAAAATCAATTAATAATAAATAGAAGGGTTCAATCTAAATATAAGATTACAAAAAATTAAATATTTATTAAATGTAAGATAACATCATTTTAATAAGTCTCCATCACGTATAGACAAAAATAAAAAAAACTTATCACGTAACAGATTTGAAAAATGGTAACAAAAAAGAAATCATGATATTAATATCATATTAAACATCTAAATTAAAACCAATTAGTAGTAAGTACAGGGATCTAACTTAAATATAAAACTATAATAAATTATATATTTATTAGATGAGAGATAATACCACTCTAACAATATATAAGTAGATGAATAGCTATCCAATATTACTTTGAGAATTTTGTGTAGTTAAAAGTGTGAATTTTGTGTTTGTTTAGAATGATACGGCTTTCCATAGATAGTGTTATTATTGATACAATGAATCAACATTATTAATTTCAAAATTGTTGAATTGTATCCATTATGAGATATTATCTACTTTACGAGCCTTGAGATTTACATTCACTATTTTATCATTTAAGAAAATGCCTTCCACCAGTAGAAATGTAACATTTGCTTAAAAAACAATAATCCAAACCTTTGAAAAATAAAAAAAAATAAAATTTTTAATATGATTTTGAAAATCATTGTTGATAATAATATTATTGTTAAAAAAATAAGATAAATACACTTTTGTCTTTTGTATATAACTAGATGGATATCTGCGCATTACCGCAGGACAAAATTTCTTTTATTTTATTATTTCTATTAATCATATTTTTACAAGTTTTATCCAATTAAAAAACAAGAAAGGTAAAAACAAAAAACAAATTGAGGTGACATGTAAATACTTCCATTAACTTTATTTTCTCGTAAAATTTATTTAATAAAAAAATCAAAATATCAAAAAAATAAAGAGTTTAAAATATTAATTTTTTATTATAAAATGATTTTACTAAACACTATCTTAATTAGAAAGTACTTAATATTATTTTTAGAATCCTGTTAACAAGTGCTTATAAGTACTAATTAGAAATAGTAAAATTACTATTTCATAAATAACGTGTTACAAATAAGTTAGGCATTAGATTATATTTTTGTTATGATAGCTCGAAGGTTTGCCTATGATTTTATCTTTTGAAAAAAGACTGTTTCAACAACAAAAAAAAAAAATTACTTATAAAGCCACAATTCAATTATTGACTATTAAATGTGAATTGTTTTTCTTTAATACTAGCTTCCATAGCCAAAGGTGTACATTTTGTATTTGTTTAGAACAATAAGACTTTTCATAAATAGTTTTTGACACAACAAATTAACATTGTTAATTTAAGAGTTGTTGAACTATATCCATTATGAAATGTTATCTGCTTTATGATAATAATATTGTTGTTAAAAAATAAGATAATATAAATTACTCTCTTTTATAGGTAATTAGATGGATATCCGCTTATTATTTCGAGTCAAAATTTTTTATGCATAAATTTGAAGGTTTTATTTGAAATAATGTGATTGGATATATAATCTACAAATACTTTAACCTAGCAAGTTAATATATTAATGCATGTTTTAGGGTTTAATGTACATATATTAATACATTATCTCATAATTATGTTGATTTTTATTTGTGCTTTTAATGATAATAGAACTGCGACACAGCGTGAGTATAACCCCTAATAAAAGGTAAAGGTCAATCATGACTAACTACTTAAACATTAAGTTCCAACAAAATTTAAGGTGGATTTTTTTTTTTTTTTTTTGTAAAAATCTCCATCTTGATGTCACAATCTTTCATTTACTTTGCTATATAATCACACAAATTATTGGCTAAAATGTTAGAAGAAAGTCTTAAATTATTACTTTTTAAAAAAAATAATTTTTTATATTTCTTTTATTTCCAAATAAATTTTAATATTTTGATTTATATTAAATAGATTTTTATTTAGAATGAAATAACTATTTATGTTAAGAGCTTATTTATGCACAAATTAAAATTTTAATAGTTTACTTGAATACAAATTAAAGGTTATGAGTTTATTTAGATGTAAATTAAAAATTAAAAATTTATTTGAATGTAATAAAAGTATAAGAATTTATCTAAATAAAATTATAAAGTTTAAGGCTTTTTTATTATTTTAGCCTAAATTATTTCGTTATTAACTTTGACAATTTTTTTCTTGGTAAACATTTTTATTTTTTACAAAAAAAATTTTTAAAAAGGAAAATCAAAATCAAAAGTATGTATCAAACGAGACCTTTTCTGACTTATTTTTCAAAACTAACTTCTTTTAACCGGTCAAACATCTAATGTTTTAATTACTTAATCAAGTGTTAATTTATGTAATGACGTGAACTTTAATTCAATGATAGATGTATTGTCTGAATTTCCTTTCTTAAATACAAAGAATGACTATGGTTTAAGATCCAAAATAATTATAAATTTTTTAATCCAAATAAGCAAACATGTGTTTCTAATTGAAATATCTATACAAATAGATTAAAGTTATCCTTACTTAAAATTAAAGCCAAATTCATGCCAACTCATATTTGTTTTAAATTATAATTTGAGGGTTAGATTGAGTTTAATATTATAATAATTTTAAAATTATTATGATAATTTAAGAACAAAATGATTTTATTAGGTTAATAATTATTTTAAAAATTTAAAATCATTGTTTTTGTGTTTACTTAAAATCAAATCTATACCCTATTATTATTTAGGGTTTAGGGGAAATGAGAGGACTTTTGATAAATTAGAGTACTTAATTGAATGACATATGTCCTTAATTGTAATATTTTGATTAGGTTAAGTTGAATGAATTGTAAGAGATTTTATGATTTGTAATTAATTAAATTTAAATACTATTCACTAATGTTATTATTTTTTTATTTTAAATTACATAAATTCAAATATTCATAAGTTTAACCATTCATTCACTTAGATACTATTTTATAAATATCTATTAGTTTTTCATATTGAATAAATTTATAACCATATGTGAGGGTAAATTTTTCTAATAAAATATAAAATCAAAATACCAATGACCCTATAAAAAAAGATATTTAAGTTCATCAAAATTTTGAATTTATAATTTAAATTGATTAATTTATACAATCATATTTAAAATGTAATATTCAATAACTCATTCTTTATTTCAAGACTACAATTTTCTCTAAAAAAAAGCTATTAAGAAATTAAAAGATTTTGAATTTATGTATTAATGGTGTCCAAATTGATGCGTAACGAAAATTAAAAAACAACCTCCACTAATAAAGTCATTCAAATATAATTTTTAAAAATTATAATGGTTGTTATTCAATATTTAAAACATGCATTTACTTGAAAAAAAAAAAAAAAGGGATCCATGAGAGAAAACCTTCAATAAAATGGACACAAGCCTTTAAGATTCATTGACATGGGATGGCCTAAGTGAGCCCATCTCATCCTGTAAACCAGAAGCCCATAACCATGATTAGAATAGTCCACCCAAACCCGGCCCATCCAACATCGAACATCACACCCCACAAAAACAGTACTACAGAAACCTAGTCCTAAGATTCTAAGAAGCCCTTGTCTCAATCTTTTTTGTTCTCAATCCTTATTATCCCCAAAGCTTTCAGTAAATTGATTTTCTTTTTGGGTTTTGCATTATTGGAATTCTCGAATAAAAGGTGAGTTCTTTTCGTTCTTCAAATATCTCAATACTCTCGTTTTCTTTTATTTATTATTACGAACTTTAGTCTATGTTTGAATGGGAGCTCCATGAATTTTAAGTTTTGAATTCTGTGTTAAATGGTACCAAAGCTTCAATTCCCAGTTATTTTAAAGCTTTAACTTTATCTGGAGTTAACTGTTTAGCCCCAGAGTGTGGAACTTGAAGAATTGTGGGAATAGGAGTAATCCATGGTTTTGAAGGCTGTGAATTTGTCTTTACCATTTGATGTAGTTTGTTCGAGATTCATGGCAATTTAGGTAATTTAAGTTTCAATAAAAGGGTTTTGTGTGAGGGACTTGATCTTCCAGCTCATGCTTGTCGGTTTAAAACTGTTACCCTTGTTCCAAACAATGGCCCCTAATTGCTCCTTAGCATTAAAAAAGGAAGAATGTAGTGTTGAAGAAAGATTGTTTAGCTTAGCAGCGAAGCATGATATAGCACATTATAGGTTGCATTCTCGAATTAGAAATGACAATTGTAAATAGGCCTTGTTCTTTAGCTACGTTAATGGTTCTTTAGCTACGTTAATGGGCTACTAATTTAGAAGCTTTAATTCTTTGTTTGTTCCTAAAAGTTGGGCATTTAAGATTATAAATGTTTGATTGCATTTTTATGTGGAAAATATTGGAGATTGCTGGTTAGTATAAATTGGCATTTTCTTTTATTCCACATTTTGATTTTTTTAACGGTTCAGGGGCAGTCTAATGTGCAAGACATTTCAAGGGGTCAAATTTTTTGGAATTAGGTAATTTTATTACACCATTTTGTCAACTAATGGGAAAAATAAAAAGATTTGTGACCTTTTTCTTGGTCATGTTCATTTTCCCATTTTTCCTTCTGTCAAATAACCTCATGGATCTAAAATGAGAAATTGAGGAATTTGATATATTTGACGAATGGATGATTTTGTAACTTCGGTCTTCTTCTTTTTTTTTTTGTACTTTCCAATTTTGTTTAATGGAATCCTTATTTGCATATGAAAGAAACAGGCATTTGAATATACCTGTCAACCATGTCTACTCCATTGACGCCTTCAAAGAGACCACATGATAGGAGCCCTTCAGAGCCGAATGGGAAAAGAAATTTACAAAAGTCAGACCAATCAAAAATTTTGCCTGGTGGTATTGTTTTCCGTGTGCTATGTCCTGCCTCTAAAACTGGTAGTGTCATTGGCAAAGGTGGCACCATAATATCACAAATTCGTCAAGAAACCGGTGCAAAGGTCAAAGTTGAGGAAGCAGTCCCCGGTTGTGATGAGAGAGTAGTTGTCATCATGGGTTCTGAATCTTCTGATAAAGAGACTGAAGTTGGTACTGAGCAGAGGAAGGAGGATGTTGGTGAAGAGGCTACTGCAGCCAATCACAGTGATGAAGAAAAGGAAAATGGTGAAAACAATGATGATAAGTTTTCTGATCCTGTGAAAGATTTAAAATCTGTAAAAGAAACTTCGAATGTGCAGAAGGCATTGTTGCTTGTTTTTGAAAGAATAATGGAAGGGCCTGATTCAGATGGAGTTGACGGGGAAACTGTTAAGTCTTTCATGATGGTTTTAAGGTTACTTGTTCTTTCTAGTCAAGTTGGCTGCCTTTTCGGGAAAGGTGGCAGTGTAATTAAGCAAATGTCTGCCGAGAGTGGTGCACAAATTCGAATTCTTCCTAGAGACAAACTTCCTTCATGTGCTTCAGCTTCTGATGAACTAGTTCAGGTACCTTAGGTTCTACTCTTATATGTTACCCTTATTAATAACAAATATGTTAAATAGTTTGATGAATGTAAATTGAAGTGAATGTTAGTTTAATAATCATCTCTTTGTTTTGTCAACAATTATTTGAGACTTGAACTTTATTACAGTGCTGTTGTTAGCTTTAAATTTTTTATCATTTGATTCCCTATGTGAATTAGGTATCGTTTATAACTTGTTATTGACTTTTATTTTGACTTTATATTTTGTGGTTATGCTGCAGATTACGGGAGAGGTTGATGCAGTTAGGAAAGCTCTTCAATCTGTTTCTCAACAGCTTATAGAAAATCCACCTCGGGATCATGACTCTTTCACTCTCAACACAACAGGACAGTCATCCCATTCATTTGGTCCTAGGCCTGAAGTCTACCCACCACCAAACCATTTTTTTAGTTCTCAAGGAGCACCCTTTGCTGCTGGGCCTCGGGATGTTGAGATTCATTCACCTCTTCCCCCTCATATCCCTGGCAGAATGATGCCTTCTCTGGAAATGCTAACATTCCGGTTATTGTGTCCTGATGAAAAGGTAGGTGGTGTCATTGGAAAGGGAGGAGCAATAATTAAGACTCTTCAGCAAGAGGCAGGTTGTGAGATCAAAGTTCTGGAAGCTATTCCTGATTCAGAAGACCGCATAATTGTCATTTCTGGTCCAGTGGTATGATTTGCTCTTTGAATTTGTTTCAATATGACTAAATTTTGAAAGTTTGATCCTCTATTGCTTGATTGTTTAAGTTGTTGGTAATTACATTGGTTTCCGATAAGACTGATGGTAAATAATAAATTCAGCACCCAGATGATAGGATATCAGCCGCACAAGATGCTGTTCTCCGTGTGCTTAGCAGGATAAATAGGGCTATACCTGATAGCAAGGACAAGACTATGATGGCTAGGCTTCTTGTATCATCTAATCAAATTGGTTGTCTCCTTGGCAAGGGTGGTGCCATCATAGCTGAAATGAGGAAGTCATCTGGGGCTCATATTCGTATATTGGGAAAGGATCAGGTTCCAAAGTGTGCTTCAGAAGGTGAAGAAGTTGTTCAGGTTCGCTTATGTGTTTCTTATAAAATGTATACCTTTCGAAATTTTAGTGCTTTTGTCATTGTTATTTTTCAAAGTTGGTAATGATATCTTTTTATTGATTGCAATGAAGTATTTGCGCATGTTACCTACTTATAATGAAAAATATCATTAGTTTCTTTCTGGTCCAGCATAGTTTAGTTTTGGATTGAGGTTGTCTTACTCTCTTTGATTCTTTCTTTTGTTATGGCAGATTAATGGAGAACAGGACACTGTTCGAGATGCTCTTTTGCAAATAACAACTAGGCTGCGGCATCATTTCTTTCGTGATGCATTTCCTTCTATTTACCATCCTCCGAATCCTGCCTTCCTGGATCAGGTACCACCATTCCCTTCATTTAGGGGAAGGAGGGAATTTTCACCTCCAGGAGTAGGTCCATTTCACCATTTTGATGCTTTTGGTGGCCCACCTCCACATGGCGGTTTTCATCCCAATGATGATCCTCTTTTTATGCGGAATATTCACCGACCGGGCATGCCTCCTCATATATCTGAACGAAAACCATGGGGCCCTCAGGTATTGGGGTGATATAACTGACTTGCAAGGCGAAGTTATTCTTTACATGTATAGCTAAGCTAAGCAACATGAATCTCTCTTGAGTTTTTTTCTAGTTGCCATGAGACTTTGCAACATTTAATGTTGGTTTACTTCTTTGTATCTGGCTATCTGAATTATATGAGAAAATGTCGGTGACTGCTCTAAAATTGAAATGGGAGAAACGAGTTATAAGGCAGTAGGCTGATAGACAAAAATAAATTCTTTGATGATTTTATTTCAGATGTGAATTTATTTAGTGTTTCCTTTGTTTGGTTATAGGGATTTATAGGCATGCCAGATTTTGCTGGACCTCCCCACCGAAGAATTTCTGGCTTTGGAGGGTAAATGAATTGAAATTAGGCTGTTAGAAATTGTATTAGTTTATAAGTTACCTCTAATGGCAATATCTCAGTTGGTTTGTTGTTTTCTTTAATCTATGGATGTGTAGAGGAAGCCAACCAGCTATTATTACAAGCACCACCGTTGAAGTTGTTGTTCCTCGTTCCCTTGTTCCTATAATTTATGGAGAAGATGGTGCATGTTTAAAACAGATACGTCAGGTATGTTAATGAATCTGGTACTTCATTTTTACTTATCATTCTTACCTTCTTTTATGCGGTAAAGGAAGGTTATTTAGTTAAAAGGATAGGAACTCAGTTGATATAAATAGGGGCAATGGGCCCATACATGTCCATAATTGTGTTTTTTTACGCTTGTCATCATAAAGAAATTGGTGAGCAAGGGGGGTTCTAGGTCTATTTACATTGGATGTTATACTTGTATGTTTTCACCTTTTTAAGGCCATAGATCTTGCTGTCATTTAAGAGTATGTCCTTGAGTACATATATCCCTACAATCCTCGCAGCTGTTTATTTAGTTATATTTACAGGATAACTCCCTTATAATAATATTTTTTGTGCATTACTCCAAAACAAAACTATATTAAACAATAGCTTTATCAAATTTCAAAAATATATATATCATTGGTGCAGATTTCTGATGCAAAAATAACAATTACTGAACCCCAGCCTGCCGCAACTGAAACTGCAATTATAATATCTGGAACACCAGAACAAACGCATGCGGCACAATCTCTGATTCAGGCGTTTGTGATGAGTGAGACAGAATCTGCTTGAACTGTAGTAAGGTAATAATCTGTAACTTCTTTTATATGGCCATTGGAACTGGGCATATTTGATGCTTGGTACAATTCTATTTGATGTATTTGTAACAAGTTGTTTTATAACTGATTTTTCTAATTATTATTTCAAGTTTTTTGAAGGAACTGATTTTATTTATGGTCCTTGTTCAGCTGCTAAAACTCATCACACGATCTAAAGATGTGCAGATTGCCAGGATTCTAATTTAACAGTTTTGTGAGCATGTGGAAACTTATTGGAAGTTAGCTAGGGAATGATATCATACTTTGCAGATTAATTAGTCCTTTATCTAAAGCATTCCTCTTCGATCTCACATGAGGAATTTTACTAGTAATCAATTTGTACTTCGGCCTTTGACAGTTGAGAAGAAAAGAAACTATTTTTGATTTACATAAACATTTGGATTCGATGAGTTTTCGACACTGTGAACACTGGCTATTTGTATATTTGTCTCAATAGATTGCGGACACTGGCAATTTGTATATTTGTGTGTTTGTTTCAGTAGAAGGAGACAAAACAAGCGACAATGCTTGATGACGTGTGAGAATGTTACTAAAAATGTTTATATGTTCACACAGGACGTGAGTACACGAATTGTAAGTCAATTTAGAACTGCTTTTGTTATCAAAAGCATGGCAGCACCAATAGTAGGAATTTTGTCTAAACATCCTCTTTCAGGGAAACACAATACAAGCAGATTTGCATTTGGAATACATAAGAAAAGAGAATAAATTACGGTTTCCACAAATTCATTCTTATTCAACAGTGTTACATATTTCAGAGAATTAAGCTGTAGGTAAGGATCATTACTGAGTCTGAAATGGTTTGTATGCCTTGAGGCTTTGAATCAGTCCTTGAACAGATCCAGCAGCAGCAATGAGTGATACTATCAAGCAAACCCAGCTGAGTATTTTCAGCCACGTCCACCTGAGCGAGTACTTGGGAATATGGGTTCGTGCAATGTGCATCTCTATTGGAAAGTAGACTGTTAATGGCCAAAAGGAGCCTGCTCCAATAAGACCCAAGAAATCGTTGAAGAAAGGAAATATCATGGCTACCACGGCTGTCACAATAACGTATGCTGTCCTCCATACCAACCTGAAGAAGTTGACATAGTAAACACCGTAGCATGGAACAACAACAGCATGTTCACGTGTAATGAACTTGCTATCAGGCCAACGTCTGGAGCACCAGCCCTCGACGAACCCGAATAACGGTTGGGCGAAAACCTGGACATATGATTAATCATGATAGGCCCAGGTGGTCAATGGAATTGAACTTGTTTCATGCTACATAATACATATTTCTCAGGATTTGAGGTTTTACCTGATATGCACCAATAAGATGGATGGCAATGCAGATGTTGGCAAAGTCAATCATCCAAAAGGGTTCATAGAAACCGAAGCCGGTGAGGAAATTTCCTGGTGCATCGTTTCCGAATGCTGCATAACCAACAAGGCCGCAAAGTACATAAAATAAAGTGGTTGTTGAAACACCAATGCTAGTTGCTCTCTTCATAGATTTGTTCTCTGGTGGGCTCGATTTGATCGTGTCCTGAAATCATATTAAAAAAAATGACTTTCAAATACTCCATATTTCCATTTTTCACCGTTGTGTACACCAGCTTGTCTTTACCATCTACTTTTGAAGTAGTTCCGATCTATTGCGACGAATCGAGTTGGATGTCACAATTGGTTGCTAATAGGTTCATGATAATTGCTAACAAACATTAAAAAAGAAAACAGTAAATAAAAGATGGTGGATAGAGAAAGATCGCATTGGAACGAGTACAAATTGGGCTTTCACTTCTTTCTTTTTGGAAAAAGCCAATAAATCAGTGGCCCAAATTCAGAAACATCATGGTCCACCAGATTTATGGTCCATAGGAATCTTTGTAACTCGTCATCCTACAGTAATCCCACAAAACCAAACTATTCCTCTTCCTCTCGAACTTCTTTGATTTATTAAATTCAATGATTAATAATTTCTCCAGGCCTCGATCTTTGAAAATTCAAGCTGAACCACTGGCCTAGTGGCCCCCACATCTCAGGACCGCCACCGAGCGGCTGATTCAAGTTTTTGTCCTTTCTTTATTATTTCTTTTTAAGATTCTTTCACGTATAATTTCACACGATACGCATCACAGCATATAAATCTAAATCAAAATACCTAACAAAGTAACAATGATTATTAAAGGGTTTTCTTTACGTGTAAGAATCTGAAAAATGAGAGCCAACCGGCCAAGAATTATTTCAACTTCAATGCATTCGTCACGTGATCATGTTCTATTCCATTTTTTTAAGTATATACCTATGATAATAATACCAGCACAAGTAACTCTTATACATGCAAAAATACATTTACAATTAATACGTGTATATATATACATACATACATGTAAGCTATACTTGCCTGAATCTCAATGAGGACGGTGGAGTAAGCATAGGCAAAGGCGATGTCCCCGATAGCCTGGAATGTCCTCCAAACTTTTTCAGATCCTGACACATCCACCCCTACTGTCACTCCAGTTAAGCTTGTCCTCACTTGTGCCCCACCTTGATGTTAATTCAAGGGAAAGTTTAGATTCAGATGAAATTGTAGCCACTCAATCAAGTATAAATAAAACAGAGAGGAAATTAATTAATGATTTGTTTGTTCTTTCACGTGGATATGCGAGCTTTTCTGTGTTTCTGATAAGCTGTTTGTTACCTGCAACTTTGGCTACGGAGAGTCCAAGGCCAATGGAAGAATAAGCGAAAGACATGATGGCTGCAAGAATTGAGAGCCATGAAAGTTTGTGGAAGTTTGGGATTTGGCTGAGAACGATCTGGATGCAAGCAAAGATGACCATGAAAGGGTAGTTTGATGTTTGGCACTTCACATTATGGCCATGCTTGTGGAAGCAATTTGACCTTTTGACGGCCCTGATTTTCAAGGGAAATAGCAGACAACAAAAGAACAATTAATAAAATCGTTGTCACTACAAATTTCAATGCTTTAGTCAAAAAGAGTAGTTTCTTAAGTAAGAGAATTTCAAAGTTTCAAAATTTGTTCTATTGACTATACTTACACCATGCTTATTGATGCTGTGATAGTGTAACCAATGGTTACTCCAATAAGATTTCCATACTGAGCCAATCCACAGAGCTGGACTTTTCTTCCTCCTGGAAAAAGAAAAGAAAAGTAAGAAGGAGCATTGAATTTGATGTTTCATTAATCATCCTGACAAATTAAAACCCAGTTGGATTTTGGGATTTAATTGAAACATCTACATGGGGAAATGATTTCTCTCGGAAATATATTTCTTGGAACCCTAAACAGGTTAAAGAGGTAGCAGTAAAAATCAAACACGGTAAAGATTCACTTATTTATAGTATTAATGTGAAGATTAACTGGTGATGCAAGTACCTAAGTAAGCTCTAACAACATCCATGTAGGTGTAGTTTCTCTTTCCATGGACTGGATCAGGAGCCCTGTAGCAATCAGCAAGAAGGGTGGAGGTGAAGTAGGTGATGATGGAGAAAACCATAAGAATAGCTGGTCCAGCCACCCATCCCAACTGGGCAATAGCCCATGCAAGAGATAGCACTCCAGAGCCAATCACAGCAGTAATAATATGAGCACTTGCGGTAAGCCAAGTCCCTTCAAATCAAAAGCCAAAGCCGCATCAAAAGAAATTTACATAATGTTTGAAAGACAAAGCATGCAAATAAGGATAATAAGCATTTAAGAGGGGGGGGGGGGGGGGGGGAGAATAAATAACTACCGGTTCTTTTGGCTCGACCATCATCGTCCAAGCTCTCGCTGATATCCCCATTCTCATAGTCTCCAGGGCTTTGCTCAATGAACATGCTGGTCTTTTGCATCTCTGGGGCCATCTCTGCCTTTCTTTTCTCAAGTTCTCTGAACTGTTCAAGCTAATATGGTTAATGAACAGAAGATTATTAAAAGTGAGTAGGAAGAGGAAGTGGGGCAGTAATAAAGAAAGTGGGAAATTGAAGCAAAGGTCAAACGGCAGGGTTGGTTTGTGGCAAGTGTCCAAACAGGGTAGTATCCGACATAAATGTGGCTCTATGGTCTCTAGGACGGGAGAGGAAAGAAAAATAAAAACTGGCTTTAGCCCTATAGGAAATGACAAGGAGTTTAGAGAGAAAGCGATCATATATAGGCTTGGTTAGAGCCCTGCGAGTGGACTTGTATAGTGGCAGGGTTTTGGCCACAATCGATGGTCGTCGTTTCTGCTTTATGGGTCATCTCATTCGGGTCCCCACACTTTTTTGGGAAATACGTATTTCATTGTAAGTTTGTAGCCATCCATTAAGTTATGTCAAAGGTAACCACAACCATTCTGGTTTTGACTATACCACTGTCTGGTCTTTTTTTTTCTTTCCTAAGTTGGTTCCCTGACGTTGGCTTTTGGTTACTAGCAACTTTTCCCCAAGACACTGAGGAACACACGTAATTAGAAATTTGATCGACCCCTTCACATGCGATGGTGATGAGTACCAGATGCAGGCAAAGATCATTTTTTATGCGTTAAGTGCTCAAAGCAGTGGTCCTAGCGGATGCTTTGATGAGGGTTTTTGGTGAATCAGGCCACACTTCAACTAAGTGATTGTGGCTTAAACTAAGTGATTCTGAGTGCATCCATCATTATTATACAAGAGTCTGCCCCAAAGTTGGAGGGAGTAATCGATGTTTTCTTTTCGTATATCTTGGATCCAATAGAGCTTCTTGATTTATTTTATTTTAATTTATTTTGTCTCTTTTCCAACTATGCTACTATATATAATTACGTATCCGAACATTTTATTCCCATAGCCATGGAATTTGGCAACCTTTTTAGCAGAACCGCAAACCGTGCTTATAATAGGGGCCTCTCGATAATTATAAGTTCCATGACTTTGTTCTTAGATACTGATGGCTAGCTTTTACATTTCATAGGTGACAACGCATCAAAGAGTGTGGCCTGGCCTTACATCCACTACAGTGATGTCCTGACTTTCTTATATTCAACGCCAGGTTTACAGATCACGGCCCCTTTTCTGGTATATCTTGGTAAAAACAGTCTTTAACTCTTATCTGGCTAAATTCCTTGATCCCTATTTCACCTACATTTTTTTACTATAATTTTGTAATTATCTAATTATAATAAAAATTACGTAAGAGTTCATCATTTTGTAATAAATATGGACCGCACTTGATTTTTTTTATGAATCTTATAAAATTTAATATTACAATTGATTGATTGTAATATAATAATTATAGTGATATGTCTCTTTCTTATACCCGATAATTTTTACTATGAAAGAAAGAATAAAAAAGGTCTATAGTTAGCTCTGATTTAGCTTTGAAATTTTTGTTAAGTTGAGAGATGATGTATATATTGAATGGAAATCCTAGCCAATAATCTGATCAAGTAAGGCAATAAAGTCAAGAAACTTTCATAATCTGGTGACTTGGTTGGCAATTTCAACATTCTTTTAATTACTTGGGGTATAGTTGTTCTAGATAATCAAAGCTGATGAAATAAACAAATGATGCAAGAGAAGAGACATCCCTATCAAAATAACCAGGACAAAGCCACATTAAAAACCATACGCTAGAATTGTAGGTGAGATGTTATAGATATCAAATATTCTGCAAAGTAACAATGTTTTGAAACCAAAACAGTTAAAATATGATTCGAAATCAATCAGAAAATGAAATTTTGTTCTATTGGTTGAAATATATTACGTGTAGCCGCGTCTTGCTTGCTGCTAAGCGGACGGCCATTTTCAGAGTTGGCCTTGGTCAATATCTCAGAAAACAGAGCTCTTCTTTTGTTTGTCATCCCATTTTTTTTTCCTTTCTCTTTTTTTTTTCTTGGTGTTCACACGTGAGCAACGACTTCTTTAATTGTTGCATACGTGATGAGCATGGATTAATTTGAAGCTCAATTATTGAGAGCAAAGCAGTTTTTGAATGATAATATAAGTGGAATTTGGATTCACGAGGCTGAAATGGGTTGACTTCATTGATCAGCCATTGAGTGCTATGAAACGTTCAGTTTATCTTCAAGTCATGAGAAGTTGGACTTTGATTTTCAATATTGACAGCTCTCTAAATTGCAAGAATTTGACTTTTTGTTTAAAGGTCTCAACAATAAAACCTGATGAAGAAACTTATAAGGGATCCTGAAAAGCAATGAAGAGATAGATGATCGTGGGTGGTTGTAAAAGATTAGACGACGAAGAACAATAATTGAGCTTAAAAGGACGCCATGTGTATAACTTGTTGGCCGAAGCAGACCACGAGTAATGTTGCTTATACGGTAACCTAACTCGTTTTTGATAGGTTTTGATTCGACTTTCAAAGATTAAAATTTTTTTTTAAATCAAATTTTAAGTCAGACTGAATTTAATTTTTAAATAAATTTGATTCGATCTTATATTTATATAAATATTTATATAATTATATATTTAAATATTTATATTTAAAAAATAATATTTTATTAATTTCAGATATAATTAATATTGAATATAAAAAAATAAAAAAAATTTAAGTCAAATAACATTCAAATTTGATGAATAAAAAGTTAAATCACAAACAAAATTCCATTCCGATTTAGACCCGTTGTCAATCCTAAGTATACCTTATCACCAGCAGAATATGGCTTCTTGCATAAAAGAATGGCAACAAAAAAAGCTGGGTCCCCTTCACCGAGACGTGCCATTCTTGGATTGTGCGCTTGTTTTTCTGACCCATTAGGCACCCCCTTTCCGACCACGATTCTGCCAAGCAAAATTTTTTTTTGGCACTAGCATTGAAAAAAAAAAAAAAAAACCTTGTGGGCAATATAAATTTATTGAATTGCCAAAAAGTGATTTAAAGATTAAATTAACCGATTAACATTTGTACCATTAAGTGATTAAGGCTTCATTCAGTGTGATGGGAAAGCGCCAAATCCAATGATATTTTGACCTTAAACATGGCTCAAGAGCGGTCATAATGAATCCTCACCTCATGGAGCATTCATTCATCCAATGAACTGTAAACTCTGTTATGCGGTTGAAAGAGATTCCCTGGAACCCTAAAATGACACTGTAGATTTTTTTTTTTTTTTGTGCACAAAAGTTTAAGATGGGGAAACTTCTCCATTTCAGGGGTAAGGCAGACAGCATACTTCAAAGAATACTTATACTGGATTTACTCTATAGATCATTTTTCTCGTGTACTGATCTGCTCATCCACACTGGAAAAAAGCTGAAGAGTTAAAAGTGAGTGAATTATGTGTTCATCTATGAACAAAAGAGGAAACTAAAGTTTCCATGGATAGCTACTCAGAACATTAACTATTTTTATGTCAATAATATAAGCAATGGACCATGTTTGGAATGACATGTCTCAATTCTGTTATCAATTTTTTTTTTCTTTTAGTTCACATCTACTTTATGTCAATCTGAGTACCAATCTAATCCACTCAGGTCAGTTCAATGGATTGCTACTCAGAACATTAAGTATTTTTTTGTCAATAATATAAGCAATGGACCATGTTTGGAATGGCATATCTCAATTCTGTTATCAATTTTTTTTTTTTTTCTTTTAGTTCACATCTACTTTATGTCAATCGAACTACCAATCTAATCCACTCAAGTAAAACAGGCTGTTTCCTGGATATGCATAGTAGCATTCTCAGTTTGCGTGGTTAATTAAACTTTTGCTTTTAGATGGGGGAATGTGAATAATGAGGGAAGAGAAAGATGCCAAAAGCCTTATGGTTCTTCTGCATAAGCTCATTAATATCGACATTTTAATCCCCCAAAATTGAAGATTGATGCATTGTCCTTACAAAGGAGAATGTAGAAGAACAAATTCAAATGTCAGGATCGTTAAGACTGAACACTATCGATTAAGAAGAATCTTTATGCTTATAATCATTCACTTGAATTTGGATGACAAGTTCGAAATGATATTGTACTATAAATTTTATTAGTCTGGGAATAAGATGAAACCCAATTATTAAGATGCTTTTGCTTCGTTTTCTTTTTTTTTTTTAGCATGGGTTGTGCCTAAATTATTTTGTTACATCTCATTTAAGTTGGGTGCTTCTGCTTCTAGGCATGATCCTGGATCCCATTGGCATCTGTCTTTTTTTTTTTATGTTATTTATATGATTCTTCAAGAGAGTTTGTGCCAATCAGTTCGAACCTAATTTTAGACCAATCTGAAAAATTCTTTCTGAATGCTAGGTATTTTAATATTGATGTAACTTTTGGTGACATGGTTAAAAAACTTATTAGTGATTAAGAACCATAAGGCATTTCAATCCTTGAATCAATAAAATACAAAAAAAAAAAGAAATGTAAGAGAACAAAAAATACTTAGAGAACATATAGAATTGTGTTGTGAATACAATACTTATTTGATTTAACCTCACTTTTTATACTTCAAGAATGATGACGTGATTGATTGAATAATTATATATAATTTTTGATGATGTAGTAGTCAGAAATTGTTACTATCATTAAAGTATAACACTGAGCTAATACCATAACCTAACCTGGTAACAAAAATTCTATTTTAAACATGAAGCTGACAATCACGGAAATACACATGTTACAAATGAGAAAAAAAAAAAAGCATAGTGTTTTTCTAGAGCACACCTACCAGTGCCAGGCCCATGGCATCTAAACAAAGGGTCCATGGGGACAAAAAGAATGGCCTCCATTCTCAGAGTTGTAAAGCCTTTGAGCCCACCATTTTTCAAAATAAACCCCAGCCCAGAATTTGAATAATTGGGAGTTATAAGTCAGGCACTTTTTTTGGTGAACTTTCCCCCCCCGCAGAGGCTACAGAGAGAAATTCCCATAGCGGACCGCTATTGCCCCTGCATTATTATCATTATGTATTTTTTTAAGTTTCAACTAACAAAGTTTGAGATTGGACCCACCCTAGAGCCTTAGCCAATATTGGTCCAAAATGGGCAGTCATACTTTTTTGACAATAATACCTTCGAAATGTTCCCTAGGTTGTTACATAAATTCATGTGACTCTAATAATAATCTTTCGTTTTTTTGTCTCATAAATTTTTTCTTGGACTAGCCTTTGTTTTTTGGCCTTTCCTTCAATCATCACCAAATTTAATGCCTTGATTTCCTCCCTTCTCTTTTGACTAAAAACAACAATATACTCTACATTTATTAACATTTTCAAAAGTTAAATTTAGATTCAATTAGCTATTAAATTTATTATTAAAATATTAAAATTTTAACCTATAAATTTCCAAGATTAAAGATCTTGGTTAGATGTAAGAGTTGTATCTAACCAATATGAGCTAGACTTGCAGGCTTTACGATCCACGTAACCCATGAACATATTTATGTCATAAATGTTGCAAAAACTTAGGTCGGTTTGTTTTGAACAAACCCAACAAAAATCTTAAATATTATTACTCTACATTTATTTATTTAACGAATAAAAACTTAGGTCACTTGATGAATACATCAAGTTTAAATTTAAGATTACTAGTTGTTAAGATTGTCCAAATACTAATAATTCATTTAAA